CTTGATGGTATTTCACTATTTCTTTGTCTTTTATTGATGATATTTCTATAAATGTTAGTCATGAAAAACAGGTGTAAGTGATAGAATAGAAGATACTAGGCTTGATATGAAGAAGTTACAAGCCTATACCTTCAGTTATATTCGTTAGTTGTTATTATTTGCTTTTTAGCCATAACTACTGTTGTGACTAATAGAGATTTTGTTATAGGACGCCGATGTTACCAAGATTTGCAGTCATAGACAGTAGTTGTTACTAAGATTTTTAGTCATGAAGATTGGTTGTGATATATACTTATTAGTCGTTACTTTTTAGTCATGAAGAGTGGTTATAACTAAAAGTGAAGATGTAGTGTAATTTTCTAGTTACAAGGTATGTTGACTAATACATTTTTAGTCACTTTGTTTGTTTGTTCGTTTGTTTTTGTATTTTTTTTTTTTTGTGACTAAATCTTTTTGTTACAGGGTTTTCAATCATAACAAAGTAATAGAAGTTTTTGGTGAATATATGTTTTAGTCACAACATTTTGTACTTTTAGTCACGATCTTGATTAAGAATGATTTTCGCACGCATTTTTTTTTTTAAAATTTCTCTTACCTAAAAGTCAAGGATGTACAGAGGAGAAAAATAATACATAAAAATTACTTCCCAAAAGAATTAGAGTAAACAACGGTATGCCAGAAACAGCAAATCTTAATCACGTCAAAGATATCGATCGATGGAGCACCAGAAATTCCAGCCCTCAAAATCCCCATCAGGAATGCGTTTGCGGCCGGGCATCTGTGTCTGCCTAGAAAAGACCAGTCACTTTGGTTGGTTGGAAAAAACATGCACTTCTTGATTATGTCATTTGTCAATTGTCATCATCCTGCTTCTCCATTGAATATTGATGCTGCTGCTTACACTCACTTACCCAAAAGTGAACGGAACTGCTTTGCCTTTTGATCATCTGCTCTCTAGCTTTGACAAAAAAAAAGCAAGTTTTTTAGTGTGAAATCCATGTCATGGCCGAAAGGGAGGGGGCATGTGATGTGAAGAGTGGTCTAAGATGCGATGGAACAGATGCTGCTCTTTCGACCTTTTATTGGGGCATAATTAATGATCGAACACAAAAAAAATTACATAGGAAAAAAAGGGAAATGTACAAAGTTGACTGGAACACATGCATGAGTAGCAAATGGATTTCTACTGGACACATGTGACGTGAAGAGTGGTCTAATTAAGGACTTCTACTAGCTACTAAAGTAGAGATTAATATACATCCAAAGACTAGAAAATGGACACCATTACGTACAGGTTTTCACTTGGTGGAATAGATTTGATTAATTGTTATTAAGTTACTGATGGAAATAGAGTCGTTAACAGGAGCGGAAAACTGATGTCACTTAGATTATCGATCACAATATGATGTGAGAATATGAATCAAAGAGGGAAAATAATCATACGTTGAAATTGAATGCTCTGACAAGAAAGGGATTTGGTGAATTTATAGACATGAAATATTCTCTCTGGAGGAGTTGTATTCTTCAAGGGAAGTTACTTCTTTTCCCATTGAATACAATTTTTAGTTATATCCACAGTCATATCCTTTGGAATTAAATAAATAATTATATTATTGAATTTATTTGAGGTATTTGTCAAATTTCCCCTCAAACTTATAAGGAGCTGTCAATTTCTTCCTCGTACTTTAATTTTAGCCAATTACCCCCATAAACTATTATAATTAGCCGAAATCCCCCATATTGTTAGATTTTCTAATTTTCCGTCAAATATTCCATCCATCTCTGTCAACGTCAGAAAATTTTGCGGGCATTAAAGTAATTTGGCCACTCACCAAAACCAAACTGACCGAGAGAGAGCATCAGGGTTGACCATTTGGCAAATGAGATCTAACTATTGAATACAAAGTTTCTAGAAGTGGGGGTTGGGGAGCATGATCTTCTGGTCCTTCTCGAACTTTTGCAAGAAGTCGACGGGGGAGGTGGAAGCTAGGAGGCGACGACGGACACTGATGGACCATGGAATTGGAATTGGGTCTCCATCGAAGCCAGAGTGACGTGACGTAGCAGGCGGTGGGGACAGGGGTTTCTAGAGTTTTGGATGGATGAGGGTGTGAAGGCATTAATGGTGAAGAGGTCATGGGGTCAGGGAGTGGAAGTGGCGTTGGGTTTGAGGGATGCATGGAGTTTGTGGGAAATAGGGGGCAAAGGTGGGTAAAAGTGGAAATTGATGGGTGTTTGTCACATCTCGGCCTGGGTCCACCACATCCCGGGCCCGGATGTGACAAAATGGTATCAGAGTTAATCCTTGGCCGGAAGTGTGCCGACGAGGACGTCGGGCCCCTAAGGGGGGTGGATTGTAACATCTCACATCTCCCAATGGAGTGATCCTTAAATGTATATTCTCATCCCTACCTAGCACGAGGCCTTTTGGGAGCTCACTGGCTTCGGGTTCCGTAGGAACTCCGAAGTTAAGCAAAAGGAGGCCATAGCACTCCTAGGATGGGTGACCCACTGGGAAGTTGCTCGTGAGTTCCCAAAAACAAAACCGTGAGGGAATGGTAAGCCCAAAGCGGACAATATCGTGCTACGGTGGTGGAATAGTCCCAGGATGTGGTGGACCTGGGCCGGGATGTGACAAATGGTTCTTAGACTTGAGGCATGATCATGTATATTTTGCTTATAGATTTGAACTTTAACTTCACCTTAATGCCCTCACTACCTCGCAGGTGTTCCTTGGACTTATGTGTATAGATATGGAGATACATGAATACGCAATAAGTAATCTACCACCTTATGGTAAGATAGAAGGAGATATCCCTTGAGCCATTTGGAGATCCATCTCATAAATTTCCAACCGAAGTAATTGTTAATTAAGCTATTTTTGTAAGAAATTTCATGCCGGTATAATTAATTGTTATTTATATTAGATTAATTATTTGGCCTATTGGAAATAATTTTAATTAAAATAAGCTTTGTGCTTAATTAAATTGTAACATCCCACTTCGCCAAGGGGAGTGATCCTTAAATGTATATTCTCATCCCTACCTAGCACGAGGCCTTTTGGGAGCTCACTGACTTCAGGTTCAGTCGGAACTCCGAATTTAAGCGAAAAGGTGGCCAGAGCATTCCCATGATGGGTGACCCACTAGGAAGTTGCTCGTGAGTTCCCAAAAACAAAACCGTGAGGGAATGGTAAGCCCAAAGCGGACAATATTGTGTTATGGTGGTGGAACGGGCCCGAGATGTGGTGGACCCGGGCCGGGATGTGACAATGTTGGTAGGGTGGTTGCAGAGAAAAGAAGCATAGGGTGGTGGGCAGGTTGGGCTTTGGGTGTTAATTGGTGGAAGTAGAATTTTGGAGGTGGTTTTGGGAGAGAGGTTGGGCTTTGGGTGTTAATTGGTGGAAGTAGAATTTTGGAGGTGGTTTTGGGAGAGAGGTAGAGGTTTAGAGACGTGGGGTGGAAAGAATTGGAAATGGGATTTAATTGTCGAATTTGGTGGGAAATTTTGCAGGAGTGGCATTTCTTATTGTTGTGAGTGTAATCTATTGTGAACTTTGGAGAGAGAAGCATAGAAAATGAAAAGGGCTCATAAGATATTCGTAGGGGGATGATGAGGTTGTGGTGAGTTGAGTTGAAGAGGTTGTGGTAAGTTGAGTTGAACGAGTCAGTATGCCTGTAAAAAGACGTTTTTGTTTAGGATGGACGGAATATCAGATGAAAAATTAGGAAATCTAACGGTGTGGGGGAATTTGGCTCATTATAAGAATTCAAGGAGGTAATCGGCTAAAATTAAAATTCATGAAGGAAATTGGCATCTCCTTACAAGTTCGAGAGGAAATCAACAAATAAGCCAATTTATTTCACTACAATCATATGTGTTTTAGTACACTCATGTTATGGTGTACTTTCACACGTGATTACACATATTGTGAAAACCATGTTATCATAATCATATTTCAACCGTTACTATATTAGATTAGGTTTAATAGGGTGACAATGAGTCGTGTTCAGCTTTTATCTATTTATATTGCGTTGTTTTTCTAATTTTTTTTATTAGCATTATTATCTAAACACATTAATAGAGCCATCTTTTTCTTTGTCAACCAAAAGATGGTGAAAAATACTATTTAGTTTTTTATTACAACAAAAAAGTTAAGAGCAGTAACGTAATTTTGCTGTTTTTGTTTAAACATCACCGACAAGTGATTTTAACAACCCTAACTTTTTAAAAAAAAAAAAAAAAAACATCTCTCTCGTTCTCTGTCTCCACTCCCACGTTCTCTCTCACTCTCTTCTTATCTCCTTCAATTTTAAAAGTATAAATAAAAAATTTCTCACACACATATACTAGTTATTATTAAGGGGAGGGTGATGATTTCAAACTATTACAATAATTTAGAAAATTGAGAGTTTCAAACTCTGAAGTATGGGTAGAAACTCAACACTTTATCCACTAAGATATTGTGTTATGTTCGTGTCATGCAAAATGATATAAAAACAAGATTGTAATAATACAAGAACTCATTTTTTGATAGGAAAATTGAGAATAGTTATCAATTTATTAATCTTGTAAACATCGAGTACTATATTTGTTTCAAGTTGGTGTAACTTGCCGTGGATCTTGAGTCGAGGACTCGAGGTCACGGGTTGGACTAGTGGATTAACCACCCAATTTTTTTTTTTTAAGATATAGTTATCCTATAAGGATGTAAATCAGGATAAGGATGGTATTACTATTAGCTTTCATCCAATCCCTCTATCTTACCAAGCAAGGATCATACATTAATTTAAAAAAAAAAGCAAGAGAGATGGACTAATATGAGAGTTAGGGCCTGATACACCTCCAAAAGTTTGTAGGACAATATGGGCTGTGATCATGAAACCCCCCAATTTGAGGCCATTGAAGAATAAGACTACTAGTCTACTTGTGCCCTTGTTTCTTTTTTCCTTTTTTTTCTTCTTTTTTTTTATGAACAATTTTTTTTTTGGAAAGTGGGATTCAAAAGGATCGTCAACAAGGAACTTTTATTAAGACAAACACACACTAACAAACAAAACAAAGGCCCTGTTATTTCCTAGAAACAAACAAAGAACGGGCCTAAAAACAAAGAAAACACAGAAAATGAGCTCAACAACAGTGAAACCCAAACAAAAATGAACATCTGAGAAACATCCATTGTGTTCTCCACCGCCAATTCGAGAAGCAGCCAGCCATCCAATCCTCTGTCCACCACCGATCATCAACTCCACAGGCACCACCTGCACGCAGCTATTAACAAGAGATAGTCAGCGAGAGAGAAGCCAACCATCGGAAAGAAGCTCTGGGAAAATCTTGAGCAACACCGCCATGAACGGCAGACAACAAGGAGAACGTGGTGGTGTGGGAAACACTTGAGCCGGATACAACACTAGAACTCTACACACAAACTTTACAAAAACCATGGCTAAAAAACAAAGCACGGAAGGGCCATGAAAAGGGATACCCACGGGGGTTGGGGGATGGGAAAAGCCAGAGAGGAAAAGGAGAAGAACCATCAACAGATGGAAGGGGAGAAGAAAGAAAAAACAAAAGTAAAAAAACCAAAGGAAAATGAGAAAGACCATCGGCAGATGGAAGGGGAGAAGAAAGAAAAAGCAAAATAAAAAAACCACCCATCAATCCTAGCCGCAGTTAAGATCAGCGGCACCAAACGGAAGCACGATTAGGAAATCACTCACATAATATGGTAAGAAGCACCCTCAAACAAAGGGAAGAACTCTCACAGGGAGAGAAAAGAGGAAAGTTACCCTTCTCGAAGATGGTATTTGGGTCTTCATTTCTTTTTTCTTTTTTGGGTCAACATGAAACTTCTGAAACTTGTGCTCAATACAGCTATTTTCCCAAGATAGTATGCAGATCAGGAACATTTATTAAAAAATAGCTTTTTAGCTAAAATTGTATCTGGCAATAAAAATCGATAAACATGATCCTTAAGTTTATTCATTACAAATTATATTGGTCATTTTGTGCAAAACCTGTCAACATCCTTATTAAGTGGAAGAGTTGGTTTGAGAAAAATACTTTTAAAAAGGTGGTCACGTGATCATTTAACGATGATATTGATAAATTTTTAACGGAATGAATAAAATGATTTACAATGGACAAACTCAATGACTATTTATATTAATTTTCATTGTTAGAAACCAAACTGAAAAGTTATAATATTATCATGAACTATTTTCCCAAATGCATATCAGAAACTTGTGGAGGAAATTGCTTGTTTAGCATGAAGAGGAGAACCGTCAATAAAAGAGGAAATTTAAGAGGAGAAAGGTTGAATAGTAAGCATTTCTCTACATCTTATTAGGCAACAGAACTTGATCATCATCAGACAAATGAATTCCAATCACAAGTCATACTAAAGCCTAAACTCATATTACACATCATTTACATTTACCAACGCATAAAATAATATTTGAAACTCCTCTAACACGCTTGTAGCTAAAGTAATTAAGAACACTTACCACCACTTGTGATATTGTGTCTAATTTCTCTCAATCATCGATCATCACAAACTTTTCTGGTGACCATGACGTCGAGACAGCGGTATAGCCACGGCGTTGGTACATTTCGGAGACTAAATTCCCTCAGTAACTACCATCTTCTTGTCACTCAATCTTCTAATATAATCTTTCTTCTTTGATGCCGCCGGCCTTCTTGTACTACTCGAACTCTCTTTCAACGATGGAATCGCGTACCAGAATATAGACGTACACAGTATTGCAAAAGACCGCCCAGACAAAGTCAACAACACCAAAATAAAGATCACAACGACCGGCAAATAATAAGATGGCCTTCTCCACTCATCCGACTTCATGTTCGAACTTGAAAAACTCCCCTTCTTGCTCTCTTGATCGGATATCGATCCCGGTTGCTTCTGCTTCACGTCTTTCTTGTCGATGTGGGCTTGGTCAATATTTTCCAAGGTTTCTGAATTACGGTTTGAACGCTTCTCTTCAGGACTACCAGTTGTCTTTGTTTTGTCCCTTTGGTCTTTCCTTTTTATCACGATTGGAACCGGAGCACTTGTATCAGTCTCGTCCTTGAACACGAACCGCACGAAAGATATGTCTTTCGGGTCCATTTGTGCGTAAATCTTTTTCCTTTTCTCTTCTAGGTCAGCTACAAGTGCATAAAACTTGTCGAGGCCGCTGTCCGAATAAGGGTTTTTGCTGTCCTTGTTGTGTCTTCTGTAAATCAGGCCAGCGCTTTTCGATCTCGATGATTTTCTTGGAGTTGGAGGTGAAGTTGAAATCATGGGCTCATCATCATCTTCTTCTTGGTGATTAAAAGTGGCACAGTTGAAGGGGCTCAACATGTTGTGATAATTTTCACGGTTTTTTTCCCTCTGAGCTGAATGATTTGGTTGTGATTGTGAGAAAGGAAGAACAGAGAGCCAGATATATTATTGAAGGGCCTGCTGAGAGAGGCTGATCCAACAAGCCTAGTCAAATTAGACGTTTGACTTCTTGGGGTTGGGGCAAAATTATGGATATATATGATGTAGAAAGACCTGGATTAATATCCAGTTTTCCCAAAAAAAAAAAAAATTGATGTAGAAAGAATGTTTGTATTGAGGCCAAAGACAAGAAACAAATGCACATGAAACGAAATTCTTTCATTAAATTAAGCATATTTACTCCTTAATACACATGCTTGGGCATATTAGAAGGCTTGAAGAAGTCCAACGTTAACGTCAATGCGTTAAATATTGAACCTAAACCTCTACACGCACACATTTTCCAGAATTTTATGTAATAAGTTCAATATTTTCTAGAAGGGGCACGAAGAAAAATTATTAGGCTGTAAAACTTCCAATGATTTGTTGGTACAATAAAAGATAAGTGTAAGATTTTATCACGAAAAAGTCTCGATGCTAGTAGTAACCACACATACAGATATTGGAGATTATTTTGTCAAGCTTTCAATGTCATAACAATTGTCCGTTTGAGCAAAAAAATTTCATCAACAAAGTAACAATGGATGTCACTAGACTAACATAGTCGACGACTCATCTAAAGTTGCATATAGAGGCTTTGCCGCATTTTATTGCATTATTTGACAAGCAATTGAAGAGGAGTGTTTGACAAAAAAATAATTGAAGAGGAGTGTGCTCTATTATAATTTGCAACATTGTAAACAGCCATAGCCATCCTAATCGCATCATTAACTCTTTGTCTCTATCAAGAACATAATTAAGGACCTCAAAAATCAAAAGAACACACGCTTACATCACTGGAGGAGAGAAAGGCTCTCAATTTCTTCTGTGTACGGCAGCAATATATATGGTAAATTGCAATTATGCACGCTTACATCAAAGTCTACAAGACTTTTAATCTTTCAATTGTTGAGGTACATTAAAATGAACATGAACAAGCAAATTGTGTACAGAAATAGAGCCAACGCGACAACAATCACATCACATCCCATTAAGTCAAGCAAATTGTGTGGGTGCATAGTATATAGAGAGTGACTGAGTGGCTAAAATATTTTAAAGGCATTAACCTCTCCAACTCATCTTCAAGGGGTCCGCAGAGTCAAATATAGAAACGTGGCCGGTTAATTTGTAGGGCCTAATGTGTATGGCTAACAATCCAAACTATTTATATTTTAAATTTTAATTCATAGATTATTTATACGAAAATTTAATTTACTATTGTTGATGTACAAAACCGGAGATTTTGGAACAATGTAAATCCGACCGTGAATCTACAAGAAAGTAAATAATACAAGATGTATCGTGGTTCACCCCAATATTTGGGTTACGTCCACACTGATATTGTATTTCTCTATTTGTGAGAGGATGAGAGGGTGAGAGCCCCTGGGGGTGAGAGTGAGGCTTTTTTTTTCATTGTGAGGGTGATGAGTCATTTTTATAGAATAAGAGCTCATCACTTATTACATATTTGCCAATTCCTTTATTACATAATTACATTTGAGTTCCCAGAGTATTTATACGAAATCTAAATAGGGATGCCCTAAGTATGGTATAAACAACTGTGAAATTATTTATACATTTAATTGTTAGTAAGAAAATTCAGTTTTCCTTATAGACACTAAATTCGTCAATTTTTTTTTTGTCACTGTTAGTTGTTTCAATTATTTCTTATTTTGCTAATATTTCTTGAAAAAAATTGAAATATTGGTCCCTAGATTTTGGCTTAATTGGACCTTTGATCACTGATTAAATATTTGTGAGAAGTGGTTCTTAAACTCGTCAGTATCGTAGCAATGATCATTTTTGGTATCACACCATTAAATCTAAAATTTTAAGGGGAAAATAAGAGATACAAACCTAACGAAGTTATCTAAAATGACCAAGGTTCTACAAGACGCTAGGCACTAGTTGGGCAGCAAGTTGGGGCATAGCGCCTAGGCGGCTAGCTACGGCCTAGACGGACTAGGCGGATTTAAGTAAATCTATTATATTTCGTATAAATAAGTGTCTGTTTATACTAAAAAAATATATTTAATTACATTATAAATTACAAAATAGAATGACATATATATAATGAAATATTGAAACTTAATGAAAACTTGGAGAACAAGCACATAATTTGTGTTCATTTAAGTATTTAATAACTCTCTTACAATTTATTAAAAAAAATACAAAATAAAAGTTATCTATTTTTCTGTCTAAGTGAATCGCAACTTAGGCTAGTCTGGACGGGCGCGCCTCAATATGTCTAAGCGTCATTTCTAAATTTTCAAACGTCTAAGCATTAATTGGGATGGTAGCTAACCACCTAGCGCTTAAGCGAAAATTTTTAAAACAGTTAAAATAATTATTACACCATGTTGAGGCAAGTTCAAGAATAATACTAATGAGTTTTTAGTCATAGACCAAAGCTCCAACTTGAGTCAAACTTCACGGGTCAATTCTCTAATTTCCTAAATATTACTTCCTATCACAAACACAAAGAAATGAGCTGGTCCCACATGTGCCATTTCAAACAACTTTAATCAGGTTTTGGACAGACTTAATGATGAGGGTAAGTAAGGCCCAAAACATTTGTCAACGGTAGGTATAATATGGACATGGATCCTCTCCGGATCCATGCACCCGAATCCTAAGGATCCATCAATTCGGAGACATTGAAATTTGATCAAACGATTAAAGTTTTTATAACTTTTAAAGTAGATCCATGTTTGTAGTTATTGAATCAAATTTCAATGGTCCAGATTGGTAGAACCCTAGGATTAGGACGCATGGATCCATAGATGATCTATGTCCGGTATAATATCAATTGTGAAAAATATTAGGTTTGATTCATGTAAACTACAAATTAGAACTAAATTACTATAGTTAGCTCATTGCCAGATTTAGCTCACTTTCCAATCCCTTAGTATAGATGACATCAAATGTATTAAGAAAAGATATGATATCAATTTCATGTTTTTATTTTTCTTATGCTCTTGTTTTGAAATGCCTGAAAAATGGTTTGTATTCAACCAACACTTGTATCTTTTCAACAACGCCCTTATCTAACTTTCCACTTTTCAACAACGGAGTTTTCTAATTCATGCTCAGGTAGCTTGAAAAAATCGTTTGTGCTTCCTTTCTTGACAAAACAACACCAATACCATGATTTAGCACACCTTGACCCTGTGTGGACTTTACAAGAAAAATAAGAAACAAGTGGACGGTGGTTCTCATTTTTCAACATAATCGATCGTGATTAAATTGTCAAGTAGTTTGCAAAACGTTTTTTTCGATACAATGATATTTACCTTGACATTTTAGAGTTAAAGTAATTTAGTTACAGCTTAAAGATGAAAAAATAGCTTTAGTTACGAAAAATACAAAATATGCAACATTGCTCGAGGTTCTCTCGAAAATGACTCGAGACTCCTCGAACAATGTGGCTCGAAAAAGGGCAATTATCCAAAATTTCAGAGAGCGTTTACGTTTTACGACAAAAGCCAAGCCGTCGTCTTGGTGACGGAACGTGAATGTACTTTGCCGAATTCATGCGCTGGATTCACGGATTCCGTTTCCTTCCCTTCATAGCCAAAGTCCATACAAAGTCAACACGGAGACTCCACTTTCAAAACTAAAACGACGACGTAACGCAACACGGGGGACACATTGGTCATTTAAAAAAAAACTGCCGTGCAAAACCGGAATCCGAAACGGTCGCAAAAAGCCAGGGCCCCACATTAATCGCTTTCCTATTTGCAGTTAAAAAGGCAGAGGTTTGCTCTGCTGGGTTGGTACTCATAAAAACAAACAAACAAACAAACAAACAAACCGAAACACCCAACCAAACCAACGAACAATGACGGTCCCAAACGACGGCGTCTCTAAAGAAGCCGACGACGTCCCTGGCACGGAGGCCGAGTTGATTGAACTCGGCGACGCGGCTGAGTTGAACGAGGGCGCGGGGCCCAGCGGGAAGGTGAGGGGACCGTGGTCGCCGGAGGAGGACGCGGTGCTGACCCGGCTCGTGAGCAACTTCGGGGCGAGGAATTGGAGCCTGATAGCCCGCGGAATTCCCGGTCGGTCTGGAAAGTCGTGCCGGCTAAGGTGGTGTAATCAGCTCGACCCCTGCGTCAAGCGTAAACCCTTTTCTGGTAATTTAATCGCCGCCATTTTCTGTTTGATGTTTTTGTGCGTTTGGATTGCTTTTGTCATGTTTGGATTTTGAAAGCGACTGAATTTCGATTAGGATGTGCTGATGTGCTTAATCGAGTGGAATTATTAGTTTGTGAATGTTCGGTTTTCGAATTTGAAGATGTTTGCCAACTCTTGTTAGTTGGTGTCGTGTTTGTTACATATGTCGGAAGTGTCGTCTTGGTTTCTTGTTTTTTCGGTGAACGAATTCTCGGTTTTTTGTTTGTTTAATCAACGATGTAATATGTCATTTGGCGAAAAATTATGAGCATTCGAGATGGTCCTAAGTAGCACGCAAAAGGAGTGGGATTTGATGTTTGTATGTCGTAAGCCTAGTGTGTTGATCGAGGAGCCGAGCGTTTGGTTAGTGTCGAATATGAGTTCAAGATTAAAGATGGGACCTTGACAGTTACGCGGTTAGTCTAGCGTGGTGCAAATTTGTTCGAATTTTGTTGAAATTGGAACTGGTAGTGTGTTTGGACTGTACACTGTGTAGCATAAATGCTCCAATTAGCACGGTCTTTTTCTCAGCGTGGTTTTCAGTTGCGTACGCTGTTTCCATAGTGTTAACATATCTCGTTTTTGTCGTGATCTATCTGTTTGGTAATTTGTGATTTCGTATGTATTTGTATTGTCGGCTCTCTTGATTCTTCTTTATACGCTACTTTTGGACAATGTTTAAGGAATGAATTCGGAATGATTTGTAACACCATGATGGAAGAACGTATATGAAGTTTTGGTCACAATTTGGTGATAGATTTTAAAGGATATCGTGTATATGTAGGGCTGGTGCATCAAATCATTTTAATTGGGTGGTTCATCTATTTTATTTGGCCCCCAGGGATCGTGATGTCCGTGGGCAAACCTCGGTTTTTGTTGTTTGGAATTGCATTAAGATTTAGTATCATGCTGGTTCTCTTTTGGCTAAAGTGTTGCCGTTGGTTCAGGTTAGTGAATCAAATATAGCGGGAAGTAATCTGCTTGCGAACTTCGTAATCTTGTCCTTGCATGGATAGCTTTTGTTGTCATTACATTTTGAGAAATATGCTGAGTAAATTGCGGCATACCTTTCTATCCAAAGTTGCATAATTATTTGCTTCATTGCTTTTGCTGAAGTTTTCTCAATTGGAACTTTATAATTAATGCAGAGGAAGAAGATCGTATAATAGTTTCAGCCCATGCTATCCATGGGAACAAATGGGCAGTAATTGCAAAGCTTCTTCCAGGTAGAACAGATAACGCAATCAAGAATCATTGGAATTCTACACTTAAGCGCAGGTGCTTTGATAAAGGAAGGTTTTATCCGGGACCTGGGGAAATGATGGAAGATGACACCTTTGACAGAAAAAAGGCATCCTCAGAAGAAACCTTGTCAGTTGGGAATACCAGTTCATTCAAGACTCGTGAAGGTCAAGCAAAGGAGGGTTGTTGCGCTGCTGAGTCAAAAGAGCATTCTACTCTTCGTGCCGAATCAAGAGACCATCTGACTCTCCAGTCCACCCTTTGTCGTCCAGTGGCTCGTGTTAGTGCTTTTAGTGTTTATAACCGTCCAAGTGATCCAGCAAATGCTTCAGCTTTTTCAAGGACAGTCCCAAGTCATGGCCCTTTGGTCCCAACAACTAAACTAGATTTTGGCTTCCTTGAAGGTGCATGTAATGAGCCTATGGTTCCTGAGCACTGTAGCCATGGTTGCTGTGATCGAGTTGAGGGGCATTCTCAAAGCTCGTTGTTGGGGCCTGAGTTTGTTGAGTATGACGAGCCTCCCCCTTTCTCCAGCCACGAATTAATCTCCATTGCTACGGATTTGAACAAGATTGCATGGATTAAGAGTAGCCTTGAGAGTAGCGCGATGAGTATGCCAGAGAACGTAGCAAGCCACAGAGTCGTTCAAGTGGCTGCCACTACCTTGCAAATGGGAGTGCCAGCAAACAATCCGATGAATGACCATGTGCGCTTTGAGGAAGGAAGAAACAAGTTGATGGGAATGATGACCGAAGTGCTATCAACCCAGGTGCCTAGACAAACTTTTGCAATGCCAACTGAAGTTGAGGGATTGAGCTAGAACTCATGGCTGGTCTTCCTCAGTCTTCGGGGTGCTTCAGTTTTAGCGGGAGAATATATATACAGACCGGTTAGTTTACTGCAGATTAAGTTAAATCTCCAGTTTCATTTACAAGGCTTTTCACTTTTGACTCATCTCGTTCAAGAGGCGTTTTATTTGGGCATTACATCAAGATATATATGTAGGTACTTCTCTACCCCTTTTGTCATGAGCAAAGAAGCTGTTGACTAGTTAATGCTTTCCTAGAAGTGCAATTTTATCTCAAATCCAAAAACTTGATTGGCAAAACTTTGGCACTCCAATTTTAGCTTCTGGCACTCCAAATCGATTATTTTGTAGCTTGTTCACATTCAGGGTGGGAGAGCTAGAAGTTAAAACGAGAGTGAAGAAAAATCTATATGAACTATCAAAATCATTACTTTTGTAAACAATAAACAAGGAAACTGATTTCCGCACTTTTTTCTTCTGTACGCTCATATTTTTTTTATGTCCTTTGTTTCTCCTTTGATTTGTTTAATTCAAAGATTATAAATAAGAGGCGTATGAAGAAGAAAATGAGTGTGCAGAAAACCATCTCCTCTAAAGAAAAGATTTCGGGCTTAGGACCTGGCCTGATCTATATGACCCAAGAAAAATGGTGCCAAAACAATTGGGTATTTGGCCCCGTGATAGGTCGATCTTGGACTCAAAACAGTTGCTTTACCCATATCCTCCATTTCAGAAGATGGCACTGATGCATTGGAAGAGAAACTAGGTATCGTGGTCTAATTTGAGCAGCTCTCACACCCTATGTTATACCAAAACCCATTATTTCATGCTTTTGCTAAAAATGATCTACAAATTGTTGAAATATCACGCGATCGTATTAGACCTTAAATACTCTAATTACTCTTTAATTAGTACTGAAGATTTTTATGATAAAACCTCACACCTAACAATTGATCTGCTTTGTCAGGCCCGCACTTACGGCACCCATATTTTAATTTTAACCAAAAGCTTAATTTAGGATTTTGCCAAACATGAGGTTAAAACGAAAATTTTCAACTTACCCTAAAAAATTATGATGATGGAACAGCTGTTCCATGCGTTACAGTGCTCACGTCACCTATGTTTTTTTAATCGATTAATGTTTTGAAAAGTCAAAACCACCCTTCACGCAACCTATGTTGTACATCAGAAAATGCAGGGGCATGTCTGTCTTTCACAAGTTAAAGTGGACCCTGTCCTCAGAAAACAAAAGACTGGGGTCTTCGTGCCAGTTACGCAAGTGAAGCCGAAGCAGATTAAAGAAAAGGGACATGGATCCTTTTCGGATTCATGTATCCTTATCCACTAAAGTCATGTATCTATATCTTTTAAATTAAATTTATATTTGTAGTTGTTAGATCAAATTTCAACGATTTAAATACATAAATTAAATGGATTAGGATAGATGGGTCCATCCATGTCCAAAGAAAAGCACTTCGAGTCAAGAAAACAAAATGAAATCTGCTTTTCATGCAAACAATTCCTGTGTGCTCTGCTCAACAGTTTCTAAAGTCACCTCAATCACTTCTTTTCTAATTAAGAAAAAAAGGTTTCCGCTCAATTTCGTACAATTATACGGAATTGGATCTGAACATTAATGTTCGGATCTTAAAGATCAACAAATCTGTACTGTTAATTAATGTGTAAAAAAAAATTAGAATTGTTAGTTTGTGTGCCCTGAACCAACAAAATGAATTAATAGGGACTGTCAAATTCAATTTATAAGGTTTAGATCTGTTGATCTTTAAATTATGAACACTATGTTCCAGAGCGAATTCTTCCTAATAATACGCTGTGATGATAGCAGATGCGCGGTCTCTCATATAAATTGTTATTCTGAGAAGAGACGTTCTCGTTTTCTTGTCAACTAAGCAGAGAGATTAACAAATAAACAGAGAAACTAATCTCCCTCATTACTTGTTAAACCCAAAAGGCAAAGTTAAATATGCAATGTGGGGGCACATTGTTCATTGTTTATGATCATTGATCACTAAACCAAACAACACACTAATCCTGTTCATTTAACCAGAAAAAGCAGAGCCGGGGTCAAAAGTCCTCTGTTTTGGGGACACAAATTAGGAAGCTTTATTGGTTATTATGTTTCACCTGCTCACTGCAAACATATTTTTACTCTCTGCTTGTTTTCCTCCATTATTCTATATAAAAGATATTTCCTTGCTTACTGACACAGAGTGCGGAGAGGGGGTTGGGAGAGAGAGGGAGGGGTTACCTACCGCGACAGGACCCAGTTGCTGAAAATCTAAGAAACCGACTGCCTACTGGGTTGAGAGCTTCTTCAACATCTGTGGGCGTTGATGATCACGGCGGCCCAGAGCCATTACATGAAGAGTCTCTCTCTGGGTTTTGCAAATGGCAGCCGCAGACAAATCCCACGTGGTTGTTGATGTGGAGGAGGAGGAAGTGGGACGGCGCAGCGCCGCCACGGGTCGAAATAGCTACTGTGACTCCGGCTCCGAGGGGTCGGAGGGCCAGGAGGGGAGATGCTCCAGTGAGTCAGGGTCTGAGATTGTGGAGAGGGAATCCTGTGTGTCGGAGAGTTCGGTAGAGGTGGATCTGGAGGAGGTGAAGATGCACGTGGCGAAAGTGGAGAGGGATTGCAGGATTTGTCATCTGAGCATGGATGCAACGAATCAGGAATCTGGGATTCCTATTGAGCTGGGGTGTTCTTGTAAGGCTGATTTGGCTGCTGCCCACAAGCAGTGTGCTGAGGCTTGGTTCAAGATTAAGGGTAACAAGTAAGTTTTGTTTTTACATCTAAAGGTTAAATCTTTCTGTGTTTTGGTAATTACCTCGCTGTTAAAAGTTTTTACTTTTATGTGTGTTTGCATTGATTCGTTGAAATGCTAGGTTAAATTGTTATGTTGTTCTTCTGAGGATTGTGAAACTGTGAAATGTAATTTGGGGATAATGCAGGAAAAAAATGTTATATGTTATACATAGTGAGATAAACATAATAATAAAAGCGATATTCTAATCTACGCTAATTTACGGGGAAATGAATGTGCTAGAGGCGAGCACACTCATCTGACCAACCCGCCTAACTCACGTCTGCACATTATAGTGCAAGCTCAAATTAGAATAAGTTTGTGTGCTGCTTTAAAGAAAAAGCATATTAGTGTAAACCAAGAGCACATAACTAAAGTTGAACGCACCGGCAGCCCAGCATGGAATTCCAACCGTGCACATGATTCTTCTCCCATTCTTGCCTTGTTGGAATGCCTGCACTTTCCATTTCTCTCACTCCTTTCCGATGCTTTTTCCGCCTTTCCGCTTGGACAAAGCCGGTTGGTGGCGTGTGCTTTGTTAAAGTCAAATAATTTGGTTTGTTTGCACATTCTTCTGATATGATATGTTAACTGAATCACTACAAAGCCGGTTGGTGGTGTGTGCTTTGTTAAAGTCAAATAATTTGGTTTGTTTGCACATTCTTCTGATATGATATGTTAACTGAAACACTTTGACTCAGTAAACCTGTATTAAACATGTGTTTTCCACATACATTTATCTTCATGATGGATGTTTTGGAAATAATTAAGTGCTTTTACCCAGTTTCCTTCTCCTGGTATGGATCCACTCGATGGATTTTCCGACCTGATGGCACAAATTGTTGTAAGAAGCCCTCTTATGAAGAGTGAGTGATTACCAACTGAAGTGGGTTTGTCTTTTCAGAAGTACCACAAGTTAAGTGGAAAAGAATCTGCATTTTGGTCTCTAGGTTTATATGATTTTGTTTGAATCCATTAGAAGATTGAATATGTATAAACAACAATCATCTCAATAACACCTTTGTGCATCGTCAGAGCACAAGCTGTTATAGAATGAATATCATTATTTCGCTCGGGTTTACATTGCCCGTTGCTTATAAGTAACACATGCTTATATTCCCTTGTTCTCCTTAAGCTACTCTCAGTGTTTTGTAATGTTTGAACTTTGAAGGTTTCTGAAGGTTTCTGAAGGTTTCTGAAGGTTTCTACCTTTCCTACTCCCATTAGACAAAAACCTTTAAATTGCCTCCTGTCCTTGTACTTGTGTTAAAGGAAAAAAGATAGGAAAATAACTGTAATAGAAATTGCTGGCGTAGTTCCGTCTGCTTTCTCGTTTAAAACTTTGTTCCTTTCATCTGTTAAGGCCTTGCTATAAGTTGACAAGCTTTACAGCAGAGCCGTGAGGTGCATCCCTGCTAGTTGTATCTTTCCCTTGTGATTGGATTAAAATGTTTTTGCATTTATGCAAATAGGTTTTTTTTTGTTTCCATAGGAAATCGAACGTGTAGGTTATTTGTTTTAGTTAAGATCCCAGTCTTACACGCAGGTTTTGTAACTCTAACCCAAGCATAGAGCAAGGAGATGTGTGCGCTTTTTACCACACTGTAGTTAGAAGTGAAGTGGTTCCATTTGATGTATTCATTTATAAATCCATTGTACTTCTGAAAAACTGGACATCAGGTTTCCAGCTGTGGCATGAGATTTGTGACAACTTCTAATCTAAACCTTCTTATATGAATACAGGGAATGGCGTTTCACGCTAATAACTGTGCCCTAACTAAAAAGTTTCATAGAGCTCCCAGGAGGGATGCTGAATGACAGGTGTTCTTTACACCTGCTTCTATCTTCAGTTCTGCCTTCGGAATAAGAAATATCTTCTATCCAATATGATATTTTAGTCCAGATTGCCTAACCTGTAACCAAACAAAAGAGTAGCGTTTCACATGCTTCTTTGGGGTGTCCTTTCCATCCTCATGTCTGCGTTATTATTGCTCAATTTTCGTACTAAATATATATGATTGCAGAACCTGTGAGATCTGTGGATCAACCGCACGTAATGTTTCTGGTTTGAGTGAAGCTGAGTTGGCGGAGCAGTGGCATGATGAAGCCGCACTGGCAACAACAGCAGGAGGTGCCCCTGTGCAGACAGCAGAGAGCCGAAACTTCTGGCAGGGTCACCGCTTCCTGAACTTCTTGCTAGCTTGTATGGTCTTTGCGTTTGTTATCTCGTGGCTGTTTCACTTCAATGTGCCCTCATGAAAAACTCGTATAGAGGGTTGCCCGTTTTACTTCGGTGATGATAGAGGTAGCAAACAAGCACTCAGCGGTACCTTCCTTGTACCTGTGCCTCCAAAAACTATGTTGGAGTTAGCTGTTTCTCTCTGTCTACTTCTTGTTGATATATTAGTAGCCTTATCTCAGCAGGTCGTGTAATTTATATTTCCATTATTAAAAGTTTAAACTTGAATTGAATTTGCATCACCAGAGTAGTTTCTTCTAGTAACACAAGATGCTTTATTAGATAAACATAACCAATTATATGTAAAGATTCGTGGCAGATGCTTCACTATGTTGTTGTATAAGCAGGTAAGACTCTCTGTAGAGGGGCTTTTGGATTAGGTCATCCGAAGGGAAGCTCTTATAAAAGCAAGAG